TAAATAAATTTTTTTAAAAATTAAGAAAATAAGATCAAGAAAACCCAAAAGAAATAGAAGGGAAGAAATAACGAAGACACGCAGGAAAACTCACATAGCAGATTTAAAGGCTGGGGAGGTGCTCCATCAGGAGAGGGCTCGCCACGCAGGCATGAAGACTGAGTGTGGATCCCCAGCACCCAGTAAAAGCCACGTGTGGTGGTGCACATCTGTGACTCCAGCATGGAGGAGGTGGAGATAGAAAGGTCCGTAGAGCTTAGTGGCTGGCCAGCCCAGACAAATCAAAGAGCTCTGGGTTCAGTGAGCCATAAGTTTCAAAAAATAAGATGGTTACCAGGCATGGTGGAGCACGCCTTCAATCCCAACAGGCAGGCAGGCAGGCAGGTAGATCTCTTGAGTTTTCGGCTACCCTAATCCACTGAGCAAGTTTCAGACCAGCCAGAGCTATACTGCCTCAAAAAACAAAAGGTTGAAAGTGAATGAGGAAAACACCCAACATTTGCCGCTAGTTTCCACAAGAGTGTGCTTGAGCTGAAGAGGGAGTTCACGAGTAGCTTAGTGAGGCCTGTCTCAGAATAATAGTTTAAAAAACAAAGTCTGGGATGTAGCTTAGTGGTAGAACATGCCCTTAAGCATGCCCAGAGTCTTACATTCAGTCCTCAGCACCAAACAGGACCCCTCCAAAATAAAGTGGGAAAGGTCAATTAAGGCAAAATTTGTGTTTTTTTTTAAGTGTAGTAAAAATCGACAAACTTCTAGTGAAACTGATAAGAGAAAGAAAACAGGCACAGACAAATGAAAGGGAGAAGAGGAGCCCACTGTACTCGCAGTAGCCTGTCAAAACAGAATGGTGTTAGGAATAGCACCATGCCAGAATTTTTGAAAATTCAAGTGAAATAGGCATATTTCCTGGGAAATGTAACTTGCTAAGAGCAACTGAAAGGAATAAAAAACTTTATCCCTATAGTCATGAACAACACTAACATTCACAAAAATGTGAATGAAGGGATCCGGGCAATGTGCGTACCTGCTGATGCATGTTACCAAGTGACAGCTTTTCTTGAGGACAAAACTAAAGCCTGTTTTTCAAATACATGATTGTGGTGGCTAGAGAGATGGTTTAGCGGTTAAGAGAGTGCACTGCTGTAGCAGAGGACCGGAGTTCAGTTCCTAGCACCCATATCAGGCGGCTCACAACTGCCTGTAGCCCCAGTGCCAGGGGATCCGATGCCTCTTCTGGACCCTGCAAGTACTGCATGTGCCCCCACACAAGTACATGCATATATATATATATATATATATATATATATATATAGAATTTTATATTTTTTTTTTTTGGTCTTTTTGAGATAGGGTCACCTTGTAGCCCCAGCTGTCCTGGAACTCACTGTGTAGACCAGGCTGGCCTTGAACTCACAGAGGTCTGCCTGCCTCTGCCATATACTTAATTTTTAAATGGTAGATCTTTTTTATTTTTGTAAATATGTGATTTATCAATAGGGACTCTTCCTGATCTGATTTATGATAACTCAACCTTGAGTGTCATAAATGAAAAGCTATTTTTGAAACGGTCTCCCTATAGCCCCAGCTACCTTGGAACTTGCTATGTAGACCAGGCTGGCCTCAAACTTACAAAGATCCGCCTGCCTCTGCCCCCCAAGTGCTGGGACTAAAGGCGTGTGCCACCATGTCATCAATGCTTGGCTATTGATCACATAGTTGGAAACCTTGGGTGAGTTGTCTGTGGATGCTCTAGCCAGGTCAGAGTCTCCCCTGCATGGTCCTCCAGGTTTGCTCTGTTCCCAAGTTAGCACTCAGAGTTAGCAGACGACATCAGCTTCAGGCTGCTGCTGCTGCTACTACTACTACTTCTAAATTTTTTATTTTGTGTGTATGAGCTTATTGCCTGAATGTATATAAGCACATCTGTGTTATACAGTGCCCACAGAGGTCAGAAGAGGGCATCTGAACCCCTGGAACTGGAGTTATGGACAGTAGTTAGCCCCATGTCTTCTGCAAGAGCAGCCAGTGCTCTTAACCACTGAGCCATCCTCTACTCCCTCAGGATTCTTTATATTCATGTTCAGGTTCTGTGGGAAAGAAAATCTCTTTAAATCCCAGAGTAAGACATAAAAACATTAATTCTGACCTGGACCATGTTCAGAGAGGTGAACCACCTCTGATTAGACACATTCTTCCCTAGGCTCAGAGCTTGGAAGCTGGTGGGCTCAGGTTGGAAGTTAAACCAAACCGGTAAGGAACTGGGGTGCAGGAACCATGGGAAAAAAGAATAGATGCTTTGTTGTAAGCTTTCTGTGCAGTAACTGTCAGATGTAAAATTTTATGGTCTTTATTTTTAAAAAAAAACTTAATTTTTGCTTTAAAAGAATTTTTAAGAGTACCACTTAGACAGCTATTTAGTTAGCAGGGATTAAAATGTCTAGTTGAGGGGCTGGAGAGATGGCTCAGCGGTTAAGAGCACTAGCTGCTCTTGCAGAGAGAGGACTGACCCAGGTTTGGTTTCTAGCATCCACATGGTGCCTAACAACCATCCTAACTCCAGTTCCAGGGCATCCAACACCCTCTTCTGGCCTCTGAAAGACAAAGGTGTATTTGCATACATGCGGGCAACACATAAAATTTAAAAAAAAATTTTTTTTTTTGTCTTTTTAAGACAGGGTCTCCCTGTAGCACCAGCTGTCCTGGAACTCACTGTGTAGACCAGGCTGGCCTTGAACTCAACAGAAGATCCACCTGCCTCTTCCTCCCGAGTGCTGGGATTAAAGGCATGTGCCACCACGCCCAGCTTTATTTTTATTTTTAATGTATATGGGTGTATTGCATACATGGTGTGTAAATGCACCCGTGTGTCATGCAATGCCCATGGAGGTCAGAACTGGAGAGATGGCTCAGTGGTTAAGAGCACTGGCTGCTCTTGCAGAAGACCTGGATTCAGTTCCCAGCATCCACATTGCGGCTGTGAACCATCCTTAATTCCAGTTCCAGGGGAATCCGAAGCCCTCTTTTGACCTCTGAGGCATTGCACTACACGGGTGCACTCATATACATGCAGGCAGTACACTCATACACATGAAATAAAAATAATAAAATATTAAAAAATTTTTTTAATGTCTAGTTGGTTTTGTTGGGAAAAGTTGAGCAATAAAAGTCCTCTCCTGTACTTCTCCCAGTAGTGCTGATTTTTATAATTTCCTTTGAGAAATATTTGACTTTCTGTAGCAAAAGCTGAATTAGATGTGTATCTAATGTAGCAATTACTCTTCTAGATGTATACATACAGAGAAATTCTAGATGTATATATACAGAGAAATGCGTGCCTCTGTATTTGCTCCAATGGATGGAGCTAATTTTTTTTTTTTTTTTTTTTTTTTTTGAGACAGGGGCTCCCTGTAGCACCAGCTGTCCTGGAACTCCCTATGTAGACCAGGCTGGCCTCGAACTCACAGAGATCCACCTACCTCTGCCTCCTGAGTACTGGGATTAAAGGCATGCACCACCATCATGCCTGGCTTTAAATTGTTTTGTACTGGAATATTTGGGAATCAAGGGATTGTTACATGATAATGAAAACAAACTATAAGGGCTGGAGAGATGGCTCAATGGTTAAGAGCACTGGCTGCTCTTGCAGAGGACCCAGGTTCAGTTCCCAGCACTCACATGATGGCTACAGCCACCTAGAACTCTAGTTCCAGGGGATCCAATGCTCTCTGCTGACCTCTGTGGGCATTGCACGACACACGTGCATTTACATACAAGTATAATATTCCTACACATAAAATTAAAATAAAAATTTTTTCAGGGCTGCAGAGATGGTTCAGTGGTTAAGAGCACCGACTGCTCTTGCAGAGGACCTGGGTTCGATTCCCAGCACCCACATGGCGGCTACGAACCGTCCTTAACTCCAGTTCCAGAGGAATCCGAAGCCCTCTTCAGACCTCCGCAGCACTGCACGACACAGGTGCACTCACATACATACAGGCAGTACACTTAAACACATTTAAAAATAAAAAACAAAACCCCAAAACAAATAAGAAAAAAAAATTAAAATAAAAAATTTTTAAAAAGAAAACAAACTATAACTACAGTAACAACAATGTTGAACACCAAAAAAGCAAAACAAGAATTTATATACTATGCCGGGTGTGGCGGGCTTGCCTTTATTCCAACCCTCAGGAGACTGAGGTTGGTAGATCTCTATGAGTTCCAGGCCAGTCCTGTCTACGCAGTGAGACTCTGAAAGAAAAACAGGCTGGAGAGATGGATCAGCAGTTAAGAGCACTGGTTGTTCTTGCAGAAGACCCAGGTTCGAATCCCAGCACCCACATGGCAGCTAACAACTGTCCATAACTCCAGTCCCAGGGGATCCAACAGCCTCTTCTGACCTCCGAGGGCATTGCATGACACGGGTGCACTTACCTACATGCAGGCAATACACACATACACATAAAAATAATAAATAAAATTGAAAGCAAAAAAAGAAAACAAAGAAAAACAAAACAAATATATAGATATAGATATTGATATATTCAATATGATTATATAAAGTTCAGAAGGAGGTTAAAGCAGCATCCAGTATAGGTTAGGACTGCTTAGCTGGCTGCAGTCTGCGTGAAGAAGAGCAAGAAATGACACCGTTTGAGGTAGTAGCTGCTTAGTGGTTTCGGAAGGGATTAAGATCCAAGAAAGACACCCGGTGTTTTTGGAGTTCTGGCAACACCCCCACCCCCTGGCCACAGTGGTGGCCCCACTACTTACTGACGACACTGTGAATATGTTTCCTGTACTTGACTGTATGTATGTAATACTTGAGGATGAAAGAGATGTAAAGAGTAAGGATCTGGCTTTGTGATGCATGTCCTGATTCTAAAAGCCACAACCCTGCATGTGGCACAGTTAACAACGTCATCCCAAGCTTCCATGTCGTTTTGTAGAAATGTGTGTTTTGAAATGAGCTGAGCAGGCGTTCTTGTGTTCTCCAGGTACGGACCCCTCCACTACTTGAAGGGTAAGGCTGGCACTGCCTGGTGCCTTTGTGGAAGCCTCTTCCTCATTCTTGAACTTCCTCGACCTCCTCACAGTGCATGACACAGGTACGCTGCCAGAAATCAGGTAGGTTTCCTTCTGAGCTGTTCCTTTTTGCTTTGTATAAAGATAATCGAGTTCTAAACATCCTGAACTTCCTGATTTTAGTTGTAGCAGTTTCTGTCTTCAGATGTGTTTGAGGGTCTTCTGTATACATGCCCATGTTTCAGTTTGTTTCTGGCCTTATCTTTCAGCTTTTTAAAGCCAGCATTAAACTCTGATTAATAAAGGACAGGGACCCTGATGGCTCAGCAGTGATTTAGTGAGTTTGAAAATTAAGCATAGCAACCTGCTGGCTGCCTCGGATCCCACCCTCCCCTCGAAGCATACCACGACCATGCTTGCTGCTGGGGTGAGACCTGCCCCACACACGACTGCACCTTTGGTTTGTAAACACTTTGCTCCTTAATCATCTTTCTCTAGGAATTTGAAAGTGAAAAAGTACACAGTTTTGATCTAATTTATGAATTGAGCGAAATTTTATGCTTGAAATTAAGAACCTGTGTTACAGCATTAAGATGAATACAAAAAGGTTTGAAATGTTTGTAAAATGAGAATACATGCCTTTTTCTTTTTTCTTTCCCTTTTTTGGGGGGGGGGTCTTTTTGAGACAGGGTCTCCCTGTAGCCCCAGCTGGCCTGGAACTCAGAGATCCACCTGCCTCTGCCTCCTGAGAGCTAGAATTAAAGGTGTGCACCACCATGCCCAGCTACATGCCAATTTCTGATCAGTTGAAAAGTAGCATGGAAACTGCTATTTAAATTTATTTATACTCACAGGATCATCACATTACCATTCATTTTTCTCAGGCAGCCCTAGTTGTTTCCAGTTTGTAGAGCTGGGTCGTTGTAGTCTTCCCTGCCCGTTTTCCTTGTATTTGTGAGTTGTAAAGTCCAGGCTGATTGTGCTATGGCTGGAGCGTTTGCTCTGGCCTTGGCCATTGGTCCTAAACACATAGCAGGTGGATAGATAGAGAGGGCCCGTCCCTCCTTGGCTCAGCCCCCTGAGCAGGAATTGTGCACTATGTATACCCCTGTCAGGAGGCAGGGGGTCTGCCCTTGGCCCTGGCGGCCCTCAGTGCTGCGTGCCTAGACTCAGAGTCACTAGAGGTGGCAGAGTGGTGCTATTCTATCTTGGTCTTGAATTCTTCCTTGAATAATGGAATTCTTTCTATACTATTGGGTCTATATCACCCTCACTGGGTATTTGGTTACCCTGAGGGACAGTTTAAATAGGAAACATAGGATAAATAAATGCCTGATTAGTTAGTTACATCGGTTCTCAACCAGATGGCTCTTTGGTACTTGGGATGTAAACAGTGCTTGGGTATAGATCATTGTAAACTCAAGAAGTAAATCATATGTTTCAGTCCACATCAGGTATTCTTTTTTTTGTCTTTTTGAGATAGGGGTCTCCCTGTAGCCCCAGCTGGCCTGGAACTCACTATGTAGACCAGGCTGGCCTCCCACAGAGATCCACCTGCCTCTGCCTCCTAAGTGCTGGGATTAAAGGCATGCGCCACCATATCGGGCTAATGTCAGGTGTTCCTAGAGATTTTCAGGTTGTGGCAGCAGAGCCTCCTGAAGGCTGGCTATGGTGCTTGCCCCATGGCAGAGTCCCCCCTTACTTTCTTGTCTGGCAGATGTTCTATACTCATTTTGAACCTTATTTGCTGTCAGCCTGGAACTACCTGTTTCTCTCAGCAGCTCTGGTTCTCTTTGTGGGAAATGGAATCTTGAGGCCCTGGGATATTTGCCTCTGTGAACTAATGTGGGCGCTTGCTGCTGCAGAGCTGTCAATTAGTTGGTCCTTTTTGGTGAGAAACCAGGAAATGCACTTTTTCAACAGGGCCTCCCTAGTCCCAGCCCGCCTGGAAGTCACTATGTTGACCAGGCTGACCTCAATCTCACAGAGGTCTGTTCTGCCTCTGCCTCCTGAAGGCTGATATTAAAGGCACACACCACCATGCCCGGCATAGGAAATGCACTTTTAATTGGAGACTCTAATGTGTTCAGACAACTGCTTCAGAGTCATGAGTATTTGGGTTCTACTTTTTCTTTTTTTGTGAATTTCATGCAGTGTATTGTATTTAGATCCCTGTTGGCACTACCCCCGACTCAATTTCATGTACTTTAATATATGTCTATAGAGTCAAACTTGTGTCCCTCAAATGCTCTCACCTTTGCTATAAGTTCATATGAGTAAGTGACCAGCTGTCTGCAAAACTTTTTCCTTGACATCTACCACCTCTAGCTCTTAAAATCTTTCCGCCCTTCTCTGCAATGATCCCTGAGCCTTGGGAGGCAGGAGTTTGATACAGGTGTCCTGGTCAGGGATGAGCACGCTGCAGCCTCTTGTTCTCTGCACATTGACCAGTTGTCGTTCTCTGTGTTAATCACATCAAGCTTCTCTGGTAAGAGTTGAGGGATGCATTTGTCTGTGTGTTTAAGAAGCCATTAGGAGTCTGTTTAATACCATATCTGCTTATCAGAGTAATAGTATTAGGCTCTCCCCTTTGACCTGTGACCTGTTAGCCTCAGGCTCCTAGGCCTGATACCAATGTCAGGTATGAGCTCCAGCCTATGATATGGACCTTAAACCCAATTAGAAAGTGGTTGGTTACTCCCATAGTATTCACACCACCGCTGCATTAGTGGGCACATCTTGCCAGGCCAGTTGTAGTTGCCAGGACTCACACCTGGGCAAGGTTGATGATTACTCTTCTCTTCAGGTAGCGTACATAGCACCTTCCTGCACCATGAAGGCTAGCCAGTAGAGATGAGGTTTTGAGGTCAGCACCAGCTTGACTTTTCCTTGTTAGTTATACATTGTAGCATATGAATGTAGTGTATTCAGCAATAAGGTCTTACCGTGAACTTCTGGTGGGCAACCCAAGAGCAGTGGTGGGGGTTGGGGGGTGGCTGGAGAGATGGCTCAGCAGTTAAGAGCACTGACTGCTCTTGCAGAGGACCCAAGTTTGGTTCCTAGCACCCGCATGGCAGCTAACAATCATCTATATCCAGTTTCAGGGGATCCCTCTTCTGATCTCCATGGGCATTGTATGACATGGGTACACCTACATACATGCAGGCAATACACTTGTACACAAAAATAAAAATACTATAAAAATAAACATTTTTTTGGGTCCTTTTGAGACGGTCTCCCTGTAGCCCCAGCTGGCCTGAAACTCGCTATGTAGACCAGGCTAGTCTTGAACTCACAGAGATTCACCTGCCTCTGCCTCCCAAGTGCGGAGACTAAAGGCATTTGCCACTATGCCCATATTTATGTTTGATTGTAAAGTTTGATTTAAACATTGTGAGCTCCCCTTAGGGTAGCCATGCTTTATGGTCTTCACATCCATCTTTCTTTAAAGTTGACACTTTGGGAAAGGGATGTGACTCCCTGCAGCCCACTTCCTCGTCCCTCAGCTTCCATGCTGATGGACAGGCAGAACCTCCCTGGAAAGGTGTCGCCTACTTCAGGAAAGGAGGCCTTGCAGAGGGGACAGTGCCCTGGGCTTTGCTACCTCCTTCCAGTCCAGATGGTGGAACTCTGGCTATGGAGCCAAGAGAGCCACAATCAGGAAAGGGTTGAACAAAGTTTTTTAAAACTCCTGAAACATCTGAACCAAGGTTACTGGCAATGTAGAGCCACAAGTGGCCTGTTTTCTAATAGCTAAAAACTCTGCAGTTCAGTTCATTTCACTTGACAGTCTGGTGGGTTGGTCTGTGTCTCCCTGTCTCCCTCCCCCTCCCTTTGTCTCTTAACAGGGAGTTTTTGTGGTGGCGGGGGTTTGTTTGTTTGTTTGGTCTTTTTAAGAAAGGGTCTCCCTGTAGCCCCAGCTGGCCTAGACTTTGTAGACCAGGCTGGTCTCAATCTCACAGAGATCTGTCTGCCTCTGCCTCCCAAGTGCTGGGACTAAAGGCATGTGCCACTATGCCTGACTTCTAACAGGACTTTTAATAAGACAGTTAATCTTAATTGTCAACTTAACTGGATTTAGAGTCATCAAGGAAACATACCTCTGGGTGTGTTTTTGAGGGTGTTTCCAGAATGGTTCACCAGAAGAGGGAAGGGCCACCCTGAATGTGGGCTGCCCTATTCCACGGGCTGGAGTAGTGGGACTGAAAAAGGAGAAAGTGCACTGAACACCAGCATTTATCTCTCTGCCTCCTGCCTGCTGATGCGATGTGACCAGCAGCCTCCAACTCCCACCACGCCGTCCCACCAGGACGGACGGATGTCAGCACGCCTTCCCACCAGGATGGACAGATGCCAGCATGCCTTCCTACCACGATGGATGGATGCCAGCACACCTTCCCACCACGATGGACGGATGTCAGCACGCCTTCCCACCAGGATGGATGGATGTCAGCACGCCTTCCCACCAGGACGGACGGATGTCAGGCAGAACCTCCCTGGAAAGGTGTCGCCTACTTCAGGAAAGGAGGCCTTGCAGAGGGGACAGTGCCCTGGGCTTTGCTACCTCCTTCCAGTCCAGATGGTGGAACTCTGGCTATGGAGCCAAGAGAGCCACAATCAGGAAAGGGTTGAACAAAGTTTTTTAAAACTCCTGAAACATCTGAACCAAGGTTACTGGCAATGTAGAGCCACAAGTGGCCTGTTTTCTAATAGCTAAAAACTCTGCAGTTCAGTTCATTTCACTTGACAGTCTGGTGGGTTGGTCTGTGTCTCCCTGTCTCCCTCCCCCTCCCTTTGTCTCTTAACAGGGAGTTTTTGTGGTGGCGGGGGTTTGTTTGTTTGTTTGGTCTTTTTAAGAAAGGGTCTCCCTGTAGCCCCAGCTGGCCTAGACTTTGTAGACCAGGCTGGTCTCAATCTCACAGAGATCTGTCTGCCTCTGCCTCCCAAGTGCTGGGACTAAAGGCATGTGCCACTATGCCTGACTTCTAACAGGACTTTTAATAAGACAGTTAATCTTAATTGTCAACTTAACTGGATTTAGAGTCATCAAGGAAACATACCTCTGGGTGTGTTTTTGAGGGTGTTTCCAGAATGGTTCACCA